CTCCTTCTTCCTCGCCCGCTCCACCTTCCCCAGGTAAATCGCATAGATCGCCACCTCCGCAACACCCACCGCCACCGCAGCCCCAAACGACACCAGCACTTTCACAGCCTCCGACACGCCCCCACCCCTCCTTGAAGCCCGACTCTGGTCCCAAACCGACGAAACCGCCTCCGTCAGCAACTCCGGCGTCGAAAAGCTCGCCAACGCCCAGTACACACTGAACCCGGTGATCACAACCGATAGGAAAATATTCAGCACAAGCCCGGGGGTAAGCGTATCCGCGTCTGAGTGTGTGTTGTTGTCGTCGTCGTCATGGAGAGCCGAGACGGTCGGTGTCGAGGAAGCGAAGATCGGGGACGGGCCGTTCGTGGGGTGCGATGGGGTCGTCATTTGGTTGTAGGTGTCTGTTTCGTAGGCGGCGAGGAGGCGCGCTTTTAGGGCGAGGTATTCTGGGCTCTGTGCGGGTTGTTTTCAGTTAGATAGGTAGGTAATATGAGAGAGGTTGGGACTAGTTAGTGGGCTGTGATAATGGTAGTGGTGGTTTGTGATATGGTTGGTAGGTGAACGTACGGGTTCGGGTTTCGGTGGCGGAGGCGGAACGTAGACTTTTTGTTCCGTGGAGCAAGGAGTTGAGACTCCGGCCGGAGCCATTTTCGGTGCGGAAGTAGCGCGATACGCGGATTAGTTGGTCGTGGGTGATGGGACTGTCGAGGGATGGGCTGTCGGGGAGATCGAGGTCTTTGCGATCGGAGGTTGGGATCGCTTCCAGGGCGGAGAGGATGCGGGTGGTTGTTATTAGTTGGACCATTGTTGGATAGTGGTGTGTTTTGGTTTAGGGCATTTTGGAGATGTGTGGTTTGGGTTGAGTTTTGTTGGAAGGTGGAAGTGTAGGTGTTGTTGACGGATGTTCGGTATTTGTTAAAGATGATGATGTTCGTATCAAATCACGATATGGACTCCACATGACGGTCATGAATGGGGTTACTGCATTTGGGTTAGTGCTGCCTGGTTGGGGTTAGCCTTTGTAGTCACGATAAGTTTACACTCCGTCCTTGAGCTTAATATACAATTTCCTAGCGTACTAGACTATAATAAGATAGAAAGAAGTGTAGGAGTAGAATTCTGATCTAGCTTTTCTCTGTTGCAGCAGACGCTTTATATGACGTAAGTCGCAATGCTGATTGATGACAGAATTACCCTACACTATGACGAAAGCAATCTTACCAGGGTTAACTTAGTAGTAACATGCTACTCTTAAATGCAAGTAGAGGTAAGTATAATAGTCAAGTCTTTCTTACCTAGTCCATTTGGAGGGGGTTATAGATCTCACTAAAAGTCAGCTTAAGAATCCATAGTTAGCTGTAATGAACCATAGGTGCTCTAACATGTCAAGCTAAATCTATTCACCCGTCACCTGCAGAGGGGCTATAACTACATGCCGCTTGTCCGAGCAAGGGGATTGGGAAACTAGAAAGAGTCTAGAATAGAGTCATGGTTCTATTTCTTTTGAGCCTGTCTCAGTCAGAGTAACGTGTCAAAATTATACTTTTGCATCACCATGAGAATGCAATTCGAAACATGTTTAAAAATGCAGATCCCATGACACAGCGAGCCCCCCACCATCACTTGCTGGGCATCGTTGGCCCGTACGTATTCCATTATAGGCGAAGGTTGTTTTTGATTTGTTCTAAGCCTTAAGGGCACACACTAAGTACAGGATGTCTCCGGCCTAAAACCGGGAGAAAGCTGCTTTACCCACCAGGGCCCTACATCGGGGGATCGAACCACCGTTCGCCGCTCCTACCAGAGCGTACGTATTACATTCCACCTCTCTGTGCAAGAGGCCACTGCCATACCAATGTCATGGGTGTGGTATGTCGCAGATCTATATGGTATAGTATTAAAAATTGATCATATTACTCAGGCCATAATAGCACATATAAGTTACCATGGCAAATATGAAATAGACTGGAAACTATTATACACGTCCCGTTATACAAAGATTAGAGCTTAACGTAGCCGGTAAGCCAGCGGGCTATGTAAAGGAGTGTGTTATGGATTGACTGGCAATTCGGTCCAGAAACCGTACATGATATCTATTCACTGTTTACCTGAGATCTAAGGCGTAGATTCTCACATCGTCACAAATATATTGTTACTGTTGACAGATCAGTATCTAGAATTTGCTTATGATGCTGCTAATATCTAGAAGAAGGTCAAACTAAAGCTCGTCTCTCCCCGTCGCTCAATACTCAGGATTTACTTCGGTGCTACATGCTCGTAGTAGTATTGATGGGCAGCATCCATGATTGCCTTCACTCTGGCTGCCGGCACTTTCTCTTTGCGATCGTACGAGTACAGACCGTTGACTTCTTGCTCAATATCGCACCTGTATCTAATTAGTTATCATACTCATCATAACGCATATCCTTTGTTGGGAAACAGAAGCAAATATACAATCCCCGTCTATGCGGACTGAGGCAAGTGAAAAAGGTAGGAACGTACAACTGCGTATATACCAACCCACATGTATGTCCTCCCTTGACGACGGCCATCACCAACTTTTCAAGGCGGCTCAGAAGGTCTTCCGGATTGCTTGCGGTAGTATAGCCCCAGTCCCTTTCACCAGCGACGGTGCCCTTTGCAGGAATGATATTTACTCCCCCAAATTCGGAGCAAATCACTGGAGCGCCGGGTGTATGCTGAGTGCCGGGGTCCAGGGGCTGAGGGCCAGCGGAAGGAATGGGGCGCACAAACATGTCACGATCCGATTTCTGGCCCAGAATGCCATTGTCGAAGTCAGAACAGGTTGCGGCCAGCGCAGGGTGATCGGAGTAGTCGTGGTAGGTCGTTAAGTCTGTCGAAACGTGCTCCCAGCCACAGTTGTCATTGATAGGTCGAGTGGGATCCAGGGTCCTATTATACTGGTCAGTCTATGATAAAAGGATGCATTATTAGGAAGAAAGTCAAAGAACGCACTTCGTCAAGTAGTAGACCGCTCGGATATGGTTCCGCTGCTCGATGTTATCTTTCAGGGAAGGATATCCCCAGCTCTCGTTGAAAGGAGTCCAAGCCACGATAGACGGATGGTTGATGTCCCTCCTGACAGCTTCTACCCACTCGCTGTTAAACCGAGAGATGTATTCGTCACTGAACTCGTAGGCATTCGCTATCTCGCCCCAGACCAGAAATCCCAGTCTGTCAGCCCAATAAAGAAAGACGGGGTCTTCTACCTTTTGGTGCTTTCGGCACCCATTGATGCCCATTGCCTTCGCCATCTCAATGTCGGCCTTCAGTGCCTCCTGCGAAGGGGGCGTCAAGCCGGTCTCCGGCCAATACCCTTGATCTAGTACCAGGGTTTGGAAACGAGGCTTCCCATTGAGCCGGAAGGTCCCGTCCCCATTCTTCCAGGTTATACTGCGCATACCGGTGGTAGTCTCAACCACATCAACCAGATTGCCCGATGCATCATACAGACGCAAAACCAAGTCATACAGGTTAGGATGCTCGGGCGTCCAGAGCGCTACTCCGTTGTGCCAGCACCCGTCAACGTTGAAGGGAGCCTTCTCCTTCAACGAGCCAGTGTCCGGCCCACGCATGTCCACATCGAGACTCACGTAGTCTTTATCTTGCGGCAGATCTTGTCTGCTACTACTCACAACGACACCCCCCAGACTCGCCTCAATCTCTACCTGGCACTTCGCCGCTGCCGGGCGACCTAGCACCACGACCTGCGCATGAAGCTGTCCCCGGTTGATATCATCCGACCGGAGGACCAAGCCGTCACTGCTACTGCCTAACCGCATCCTGGGCACACTCTCCAACCAAACAGACAACCAGATTCCACTCGTCGGTGTGTAAAAGATACTTTCAGGGACAGGGCCCCAATACTGCTTTCCACGCGGCTGGCAAAGATCCGACGGCGAGTCTCTCACCCGAACAGTCAGCCGTCTAGCCCCTGTAGCACTCTCTTGGGCCTCGAAGGCATCAGTCACATCAATTTCAAAGGGCACATGACCGCCCCGATGGCCTCCGACCATCTGGCCATCAACCCAAACACTGCAGTCATAGTCCACTGCACCAAAGCGAAGCACTAATCTATTCCCCTTGGCCAGTTCATCCGCCGTACGAATATCTGTCAGAGTGCGCTCATACCACAACACCTCGTGAGCCTCATGAAGGCCAATCCCTGATGCGGGAGTTTGGAATGCATACGGAACTTGGATTTGGCGTTTGGCGCAGGTGGCGGTGTTGGTGGGGATCCCCTTCTGGTGCCAACGCTGTGATAGACCGTTGTCTGCATCATCGAAGATGAAGTCCCAGGGACCGTCGAGCGACGTCCAATTGAGTGCCGGGCGTGGAAGTCTGGACGAGGGTATGCTGCCATTCTGTTGGTGCTTCTTTCACGCTATGTAGGATGTGGATGAGGAGTTGGCAACGTGAAGGTGTAATTGTTGTCCCCGCGATCGACGTCTGTCTCCCCGCACCTGACGTGGGATAGATTATTGGCCATACCTTTCTATAGGTTGCATGGAGTCAATGGTCAATGGAGGTCGATATCGTGAAGTGAGAATGGGACACAAGCGTTTTAAGCATGCCAGGAATAAGTGTCACGCGTGTAAAGTAAATTGTGAGCTCTGTTGTCCGTACCTTGGCCCATTTCTATACACTGCTGAGTGACCTCGACGACATACATTTTCGGAATTCTAGTCAAAATCTAAGGCCAATTGGGGAATCAATGCTAGCTGAACAGATTCTGCCGAAAGATAAATTTTTCATAATCATAGACTGACGCCGTGCGGCTAGCCCATCGATCGAAAACCCTATACGAAAAGCATATCGCCGATTTGAGCTAGAACTTGTACAGCATATCGCCGACATGACACTAAACAGCATGTCGGCGATATAAACATGTTTTTATAATATATGCAGATATTCACGTAACTGCAGATTACATTAGTTTCTTTTACCTACTTTCAATTTTTTTTTTTTATTTCCCTCTAAACATATCATTCTTACTTCGCCAACAACAGAGGTTTACCATGTGGGCGACAACAACCTCAACGATGAGGACTCAAATACAGAGACTCCAAACATGGAAACAAGCTTCTATATACATTCCTTTAACATGTAGAAGATTAACACCTTCATCACTCAAGACCAAACATATCCGGCAATCCTCAACCTGGAATCCACACACCGTCCCCAAGCTCCCGAGTCAAGAGCAGAGCATCAGCACGAACAAGAAAGAAGAAAACGGAAAACTCGAATATGTCCTGTACGATGCCCGTCTATCTTAACCTATTCCATCAACACCAGCTAACCACGTACCCAGAACAACAGCCGACCAGCTCATCAACTGGGCCCGCCAAGGCTCCCTCTGGCCCCTCACCTTCGCCCTCGCATGCTGCGGCGTCGAAATGATGCATGTCTCCATGCCACGATATGACCAAGACCGCCTGGGGATCATCTTCCGGGCCTCGCCTCGCCAAGCCGATGTCATGATTGTTGCAGGAACAGTAACTAACAAGATGGCACCGGCGTTGAGGCAGCTATACGACCAGATGCCGGACCCGAAGTGGGTGATTAGTATGGGGAGCTGTGCTAACGGGGGTGGATACTATTACTATAGTTATAGTGTGGTCAGGGGTGTGGATCGGGTGGTTCCTGTGGATATTTATGTGCCGGGGTGTCCGCCGACGCCGGAGGCTCTGATGTATGCGATTTTTCAGCTCCAGAAGAAGATCAAGAGGACGAAAGTGACTCGGATGTGGTATCGGAGGTGAGATGGGTTTGTGTGTTGTCTAT